CGCCACGCCACGCCCCCACCCGGTGCGGGCCGTCGTTGGGGCACTGCTCTGCACGGCAGCAGCTCTGCCTCCCCCTCCGCCAGCGTACTCTCAGCACCCCTCCCGTGCAGACGCTCGTAGGTGTTGGATTCGGAGAGAGGATGTTGTCTGGCCCTTGGTAGGGGGGTGGGTTGAAGTGATGAGCCCGGACTTCTGCAGGGAGCCCTGCGGTGTTTCTAAAGCGCAGAGGAGGCGTCAACCGAGCTCACGTCTACGTGCAGACTTTAACGGCACGTCACGGGCAATCAGAGTCAGCGGCTCGACTCTGCAAAGCCCAGACGCAACTAGGCTCGGGGGAGTCGGAGAAACCCATCGTACAGGAATATTCAACCGAACGCAGAGGAAACGCCCGATAAACAGGAGAGCGAGACGCGAGGGTGAAGCGAAAATCTTCCGGCCCAAAGCACGGGTGACCCTACGCGCACCCGACCCGGGGCAGAGCCACGCGCGCCACCACAGAAACCCGTTCAGCGCGCGGCTCTGGGGCTTCTCGAGGTCACCCGCGGTGACAGCAAGGCTCCAGGACCCCGCACTGGGGTCGGGCTCCCTGCGAAAAGCCGGGGCGGGGGCTGGGAGGCCACACGTACCGGTGAGCTCCTTGTTGCCTTTGAACCATCTGATGGTGGTGGCTGGTCTGCTGGCCATGGCAGTGCAGTTCAGCTCGATCTCTTCTCCCTCAACGGCCACCTCTTTCTGGATATCAATGACCAGGTTGCGCGGCGGGACTGCAACGGAAAACACAACGACAGGCACTTGGTGAATAAAACATTTTGATCGCTACGGCAGGAGAAAACCTTCAGGAAAAGCCGTAAAATCTACCAGAGGGAAGTAGCCACCAGTGGTTTCTTGATCTTTCAATCGATCAAACCCTGCGATAGGCGGCTCCGCAGTAACCGGAGCGAGCGCTTGCCCTCGCCACATAATAATCACCCCAGTTTCGCAGATTATTACTTATCCAATCGGAAACTTTCCGTTCCCTCGCCCAGGCAGGCACCGTGCCAGGGAAGAGCTGCGTCTTCCGCACCCTTCGGCTGCGTGCGCTGCTATTCCAAAACGCAGCTCGACTCCTGGACCCCGCTGACAAGGAGGGGAGACACGAGAGCTGGCATTTGGAAGTGCGTCACTTACCGCGCCTCCGACCTCGCGAGGCCGTTTTTCTCTCCCGCTCTTCAGCCCCAGGGCTCGGACGTACGGAGTGGAAGCGGGCCAGCGGACATCGCGCTCGCCTGGGATGCTGGGAAAGCTGCCGCGCAAGCGGGAGGCCATCGCCTTTGGAACCACACCGTGTCCCCCCCAGCACCGTGAAGCAAACAGCAAGCCATCCCAGAGAGGAGAGAGCCAGCCCCGCATCCCATGCCATCCTGCCTCGGAGGGCCAACCCTTTCGGATGGCCATTTGCCCTTCTCCCAGGCACGTATCTCTGCAAGTCTGCTCAGTGAAAAACAACCCAGGAACATTCGGAACCAGGCTGGGACTTGAGGGGGATAACCTCCCCTGCGGCTCGCCCCAGGGGCGTGGGGAGTGGGCTTGCAGATGAAGACGCGGAAGCGAGGAATGTCTTCTCCAGGGAAGCACGGGGAGCTAGAGAGGCAGAAACCAACCTCCAGAGGCTGTGCGGCAGAGCCGCTGTTCCCAAAAACCCCAGAACTTCCAGCGGAAACTCAACTTTGCTCTGATCACTGTGATTAAGCAACTGCATAGTTCAAATGTGACTAACACGTTTTGGAGCTAACGAAGAACAAATACGTACAAATACCATCCAGATGATCAAATGGACTAATTAGTCACTTGTGGCTTTTCTCTAAAAAGAACAGAACGGGCTACATATTTGAGATGTTCACATGTCCCAATTAAGCATGCATAAATCTACATATCGTGCCACAGAAGACATTAAAGCACACGGGAGAGCGGGGGGAGCACGCTGCCACGGCAGGGAACAGCGAGCGCGAGGCTCGCTCGGAATACCGAGCGCCAGGAAGGAAGGATGGATGCCTCCAAGCTGGATTGTTAAAAGCAGATCAGCCAAACTCCTCCTTGGTAGAGCTTAGGACAGACAAGGGGTCTGAGCGTTGACCGTGAGATCTTCCGTGGGGATGCATTCCTCGGAGGACCAGCCATAGACCGACACGCAGAGGTGCCCTCTGCCCTGGCTCATTTTTGATCCTAATTAGGGGGTCAGTAATAGGGAAGATGGGTCATCCCTGGCGTCATGGTGCCCCACCTCTCTGTACAAACGCTAGCTGAGACAGACAGCCCCCTAATGATAAACATCCACCGTCCATGCCTGCCCGGCGAACTCGGGCTTGGCCCGAGCGTGTGACGGAGGCGACAACACCCGCCGCTGCGGGGAAAGGCCAGGCTGCAGAGCCTTCCCAAACACAACCAGAGGCTGAGGCAAGAAAACAGACTTTCCCCTCGCTTCTGAAGCGTGACTCGCGTTAAAAATCCCAGCAAAGCCCAAGCTGCGCTGCTCGACCACGCAGAAGACACGCGGTGCTGCCTCCAGGTGAACGAGGGAAGCGCCATTATTTCCAACACCTTCTTGGCATTATCAGCAGCGGAACGAAATCCAACCATTTTTGTGTGCGTAGTGTTAGAGAGAAGAGCTGGAAGGCAGCTTCCTACTCCTATGACCAGGGCAGTGCAGGAAAACTTTGAGGATGCCGATAAAGCTAACAGCTACGGTAGAACTGCTTATAAACATGGCTTAAACAATGTATAAAAACCTCAGAACCAAACCTCATTACGTCCAAGAGGGAAGATTCACGCTAATCAGCGAGTGAGATCTTACATGAAGTCACCCTCTGTGATTCAGGGTCTCCCATTCACAGAGCCTTAAAAGCCGCTGCCGATCTGCAGGGGCAGCTCTAATGGCACGTGCTGCCGTTAGGGCCACGCGTGCCCACGGCCTCGCAGAGCCCGAGGGGGCGGAGGGAAGGCGAGAGCTCGGGGGGAGGCAGCGGGAGGGAGCAGAATTTTCAGCTCTGCAAACAGCCCTTCCCGTGCAGATGAGCAAACTGACGGTGTCAAAGGAGAGCTCTTGCGTTCTTTCACCCGTGAAGCCTGTTTTCCCCAAAATGAACAGGAAGCTATCACTTTCCGTTACGCGAAGTCGAGATTTCACCCGCTGTGTGTCGAGGGACCAACCCTTACGCGCCCTCGCATGGGCAGGGGGTTCACCAGCGATGCTGTGAGCGACGTTTGCCCTTAAGGAGTACCACAGGCGGGCAAAGATGCTGTCCTTCCTCATCAAGATGTAAACCCTCAAATCCCCAAGTTTTGGGGGAAAAGATTCAGCACGTGACCCAAGTGCTGCAACCACGACATCAGCAGATCCCGACTTGTCTGAAAAGCCAAGCCATTCACTGGGATGTTCCTACAGGGCAGCGGCAGCACAAACAACTCCTCCTTGCAGGCTGCCCTCAAAGCAAGGCTGGTGTTACAGCCCGCTCCGTGCGGGCAGGAGCACCTCGCGGCCTTCCCAAGTGACCTGCCCAGGTACAGGAGATGCTTGGGAGACCTTATAGCACCTTCCAGTGCCTGGGGGGACTACAAGGAAGCTGGAGGGGACTTTTTACAAGGGCCTGTAGTGACAGGACAAGGGGTAACGGGTTTAAATTGAAAGTGGGGAGGTTTAGATTGGATATCAGGAAGGAATTCGTCCTGCAGAGGGTGGGGAGGCACTGGGACAGGTTGCCCAGAGAAGCTGTGGATGCCCCATCCCTGGGAGTGTCCAAGGCCAGGCTGGATGAGGCTTGGAGCAACTTGGTCTAGTGGAAGGTGTCCCTGCCCATGGCAGGGGGGTTGGAACTAGATGATCTTTAAGGTCCCTTCCAACCCAAACCATTCCATGATTCTAGGCAGAGAACACCTCACACTTATTCTTTGAGGCCAAAACAAGCCTGTGAACAAAAAGGGGAAGGCTCCACATTCCACTAAGTACAACACAACCTATGAAGAGGTTTGGGGTGCAGCCAGGGAGGCCGTGCCGGACGGGAAGGCAGGCAAGGACCCACCAGACAACCCGCTTGGTGTTTGCTGGCAACCGTTGAAAATCTTGTGTCTGTGGGTTCGGGCACTAAGATGCCCTGAGCTACGGAAGAGCTGAGCTAGTCTCCGTGGGGAGAGAGCTCAGCATTCAAACCCCTGCTGTGTGTTATCACAGAGCAGCTGGAACAATCCAAACACCACGTGGAGTCCCCTCCCGCTGACCCTGTGCATCCCGGGATTCTCACAAAGCTCCCCGCAAGCACCTGTCGGGTCCTTACCGAGCACAGTAATCGTGGTGTAAATCTCCTGGGGGGGGTCGGTGTAGAGCTGGCAGAAGTACCTTCCCTCATCCGAAATGGAGACGTTCGTCAAGGACACTCGGAGCTCGCTGTTGGAGAAGTTCACCAGCTGGAACCTGCTGTCCTTCAGCGCTGCGGAGCAAGCACACCCTCAGTGACTGCGGTGAGACACAGACCCCCCCGTCACCCCCCAACAAAGCCAGAGGCCTGCAACGAGAGCTGCAGCACCCGCCGGCTCCTGACTGAGGCGTCCACCCTCACAACGTGCCGCTGCGTCCCGTCCCCGCAGGGACGTTACCGCCACTACAGGCGTTTCGTTGCGGTGACCCTGCTCTGAGGCACCGTCACCACGGGAAAGAGCCCGACTCATCCGCCGGACACAGCGGCGAGGGGGGATTTGGGGTTGGTTGTAAAGAAGCAGAGATTGTCTTGAAGTTTTCAGTCTTGGAACCGAACAGATTACCTCGGAGGACACGGCGCTGTCTCGGCGTGGCCCTCTTCAATTTGTTTGTGTCAGCTAAATATTTGGCACTCCGTTGCAATTCGCCCAGGATTACGACAATCAATTCCTACTGCAAAGTAAGACGGGCTGACTTTTAAAGGGCCCATCAAGGTTTCCATTGAGGAGAAAGATTATGATCGCCTGTCTCATCCACCCTCAGCAGACTGGCCTGAACTGTCAGGGTCTGGCGTTACATTAAAGGAAGAGACCTCAGCAAACGCATTCTCCCGAGCGAGCGAGACGCGGGAAAAGTCGTTATCGGACAAGGAAAGAGGAAACTTACGTCTGAAATCTCGGAAATAAATGGTTTGTCTGTTGGGATTCAGGAGCTGAATCACCGAGTCGTCGCTGTTCTTGACTCGGCAGCTGATGGTGGCGACGTCTCCCTCCACCACCGTCACGTCTTCGGTAACCAAATTCTGACCGTCGCCTTAAGGAGAGAGCAAAGACGAAGAGACGCGTCAGGAAGGGAAAAGCCATGTCAGGAACGGAAGAGCCGCGTGAGGAACGACGCCAGCGACGGCCATTCGGCACCGAAAATCGCCGCCGCCGCGCGCTCTGCGCTGCTGCACAACGCGCAGCACCCGAAACGGCCTTGGGGCTTCCCTGGCCCTTGGCTGGGGATGAGGTTGTATATTCCGCACGGGGAGCTCGGGGCAGGTGGTGGAGGACCATCACTGACCCTGGGTCCTCCAGCCTACGGGGATTATATGGAAACTGGACCCTCAGACCCTTTTACCTTCACTCTGCCCCGTCGGGCTTCGCAGGGACTGACATCGATTTCTCTCAGAGGCACAATTACCTGCAGTATAAACACTCCAAGGCCAGGGAACACGGCTCCGACTCTCCCCCCTCTCCAAGTTACAGCGGAGCAGTTGGAATACGGACGGAGACCCGCTCCAAGGCGCTGTACAGTGACCACCGCGCGCCCGCTGCGCAGGGCTCGCTTCCTACCGCGCCGGAGCCATGTCACCCGGCTCATCCGACTTCAAGGCTCGACCAAAGGCAGAGGATGAGGGAAAGGTCCCGCCGGGCGCCACGGGTCCCTCCGCGCTTTAATACTGATGTCAGCCTCGGGGAGCAAGCCCCACGCTGCACACACGGGAACGGCACAGACCCGCGTCCTCTCCCAAAAGGTGAATTTTGTTAAATTACCTTGAAAGAACAATGCGCCGTGAGAAGCGTTTGTCCTCTGACCCAAGCAGACAGACCTTAGGGAAGCGGTTTTTACTCGCTCCGTCTAATCAGTCGGCGCTATTAATGTCCAGAGGCCGGCAAAGAGGAGCTCGATGCAATTATGCTGTGGGAGCCTTGTAATCATTCGCAGGTCATCACCTCGAAAACTCTCCTGCTAATGCATCGTTACATCACACGCAGGCTGAGACATTCGCCTCACGCCTTAAAGAACGCGGAGGACGGGAATTTGAAAAAGGCGCCTCGGACGTCAGTTTTTCCATTGCGTCCGTCGGGGCAGAGCGCGAGCCGGAGGAACGCGGAGCCACGGCAGGACCCGGGGACACAACCCGAGGGGAGCACTAATTGGAGGCCCCTTCGGCGACGGCCCAGGCCCGCTCTCAAACCGCGGGGGCATTTACGGACGTGGCGCAGCGACGTGGGAGGAATTCTGAAAATCCGACTGCCCGGCGATGGGAACAGGGGCACGCGGCCAAGGGCTGGGTGGTCAGGAGAAGTCCTCCACCGACGCACAGCCGCCTTTGCTCGGGATACAGCCCAGCTCCCAAGCCACCCACGAGAAACCCAAAGACACGAGGCGCCGGTGCGTTCGCAAACGGTAAATCTGGGGATGGCCGTTACAGCCTGGTTCTTCCATCGTCTCCCTCTTTCTTTCCTTCTGACATACTTCTATTACTTGACACACCTCAGAAAGAAAAGTTAGATGAAAAACTTATATTGTCTGGAAACAGAGAGATGGGTAAGCGGTCAGACACCTTTCCGCTCCCGGTGGCACCGAGTTGAAGTCTCAGCACGTTCTTCTGCCCGCTCTGTATAAATTCCCTTTCTCCAGACTGACGAACTTTGAACAGCGCCCTGAGAAGTGGTTATCGAGCGGAGTAACACCCCTACCACACAGGAGCCCCCCAGGCCCATCGCAGGAGGTGCAAACAGCCCGTCACGGACATTTTCCTAGCTCCTACTCCACTTTGGGCAACTTGATCATCCTCAAATCCCTCAAACCCAAAGACGAGCATCCAGCCGTCCCACCACACTATCACTACCCTTAATATAGCGTCATTGAATGCCACCAACCACCGCAACGCCCAGGTTTGTCAAGTCACGTCACCCACTCCATGGAAGGGGGATATGACCGCGTTACTTGTCCAAACAAACCGAGTATGCGCGGGGTGTAAGACTTGGCAGCCAGCCCGGGGGCTTCCAAGCCGGTTAGGTGACGCTGCGGTACCCGCTCCTGGGCACTGGACCTGGTGACCTGGGCACTGCCGTGTCCCGGCGCCGCAGAGACCACCCTCGGCAGCCACAGCCCGGCTCCAGAGCGAGGAAAAACATGAAACGTTGCTAACTGCTCCTGGGGAACAATTTCATCAAACCCATTCAAAACAAGGTTCTTGCACAAGGATCAGCTTGATATGTTCTCATAAACGCAATATTCACTACAAATCATTAACAAAGCTATTAAGATTCGATTTCCATCTAAGCAATTATTGCTAGCATATTTTTTTACATTTACTTAAAAAGACTCAATCCTATTTTCAATTCATTAAACTGTTCCTTGCATTTACTGAATTTTACATCAGCTTAGAAGCCTATTTGAATTAATAAGAATTACAGTAGAAGTAATTTAGAAATAAATTATTTGAAGTTCAAGCCACTGAAGCTTTTCATGCCGGGATGCTGCTACATTAAGCCCGCTGAGTGATGGCTTTAGAAGTCCAGCATCTCGGCCTCAGCCGGCCTCGGGATCCCTCTCCAGAAGGCATTTCTTCTCTCCGAGGGCCTGGGGCTCACGGCAGGCAGAGAGCACCTAAGGACACGCTGCATCCATAGGGCGAAGCAGCCAGCATCTCCGGCCTCACGGACTCTGCCTGTCTATTCCGACTCAAAGGGCGTCTAATCCAGCCGTTGCCTGCAAAGCTCCTCTTGCTCTGCTGACCCAAATTTGCTTGCTTCAGTGCAAGCAGCAGGCCGTGCACGGTAACGCTTTGGGGTCTCCGTATTCATATCTGCCCCTGCTTACCAAGACCAGAAAGTTATTTCAGAGAACAGCCTCAATTCCAAACTCCAAAGCAAATAACAGTGTGATGCGAGTGAGAACTCTTCAGACCCACCTTCACGTCAACAGTTCAGGAAACTTCTTGGTAAATATTTACTGGCAACATACAAGTATTTTGAGGAGCACTGAAGTAGACACCTGTACGGCATTGCAGTGTGCTGGGGCAATCCCAGCACAAGGACAGGCTGGGCAGAGAATGGACTGGGAACAGCCCTGAGGAGAAGGACTGAGGGGTGCCGGGGGGTGGAAAGCTGGCCCTGAGCCGGCCGTGT